TATAAAAATCAAGTTGTATTGTCATTTTTAAATTTGACATCCTAATTGACAATCATCATAAAATAACAAAAGACATTTTTCAGAACTCACAAAATTTACACCACATAATTAGCCTGATTGAAAAAGATCCCTTCAAGTCAGTTATTTCAAAAACATGGGTGATTTAAAAATTGAAATTGTTTTAGGAATGAATTAAAACTTTTGTGACATCATGACTTTCGTCCCTTTTTCTTGTAAATCAAAGAAAATCGATATTTTTGCACTTTATCGTAAACTTACGTTTTTGTTTGATCATTTCCGGTTTTTATTTATGAAGAGAAGTAAAAAGCAAGATTTGATTTTGCAAGCAAAATTGATTTGATTTCGCCATTTATATTCATTTAATCATTTATTTCATACATTATACAACATTCAAACTCTACATAATTCATTTTTTTCTTCGTAAATTATTTGTGTTGAATGACATATTTTTCAACGAAAAATGTATAAAATCATTGACTCTCTCAACAGAGTATGAAATGATTTCTTTTAGTTCTGAAGCTAAGATACTCCGATTTTCTGTTTTGTGCGATTTATTGTTCAGTTGATCATGTTTACATTTTAAGTATTTCCATCATTTTCAATATATTCGTTATTTTTTTATTTTGTCAAAAAGCAAATATTTGTATTAAAGAGAAAAAAAAACGGCAAACATATTTTAAATTGTTGTAGATCAACAAAATTTATTGTAACACTACTTTCTCTTAAACAAATGAAAAAGAACGGAATACTAAGTAAATAATGAATAATATTCTAAAAATGAAATGTTAGATTGAAGAAAAAAAATCTCAGTAAATTCTTAGAATATAAACTCCATCATAATGTATCGGCCATATTCTTGCCGAAGCATTCGTTTCTCTGTTGATACTGCGGAAGATTTTTCGCATAGTTGTAAAAAGCATTAAAAATGGAAATTTGTAGCTCGTTTCATTGTGTTACACGTGTCTTCGAAAATAATTCTAATATTCGACGAATGTTTGGCTTTATAAATGTTCTAATCTAATTAATTGACAGGTGCCATATGCTTTTTAGTTAAACTACATACAATACGGTTTTGGTCAATTGATAGATTGATTTGATTGTTTGTTTGTTTCTGTTTTCGACGAAATAAATGTTGTTTGTTATATATAATTTGTTTCGTATTAATGTTTGTAAGTTTAAATTCCGTTTGGTACGGTGGATGTTGTTGGAATAAAGATAGTGCTGTTGGACGGTGCTATAGTGCTGTTGGAGAAGGTGGCAATAATATCGACGAGTGATTTGTTTGTGCCGGTGATTAGTGCAAATAAACCGATTGCAATTAGAATAACATTACGGATAACCACATGGCCGCAACGTCCCCAATTATTAGGATATAATACGCAGATCTCCATCAACGAAGGGAAGGCAATTCCAAGCACGGACAAACATAATGCACCAAACAATGAAATGAACAATGCCAATTGTGGCACTGAAATTGCCAACAAAACTATTCGGAAATAAAGAGAAAGAACGGATAACGGTCATTAGAAATGGCATATAAAAATGCGGATGCATTGCATTTACGTTAATATACAGGGTGTCTCATATAAGTGGGTATAAATTTCGATTTTTTTTTGTGTTGGTATAATTTTTAAAAATCCGCTCCAATACAAATTTAGAAAATAAATTACTACGAATTTCTATCGGAGTAGATTTTTGAAAACTATAGCAACAAAAGAGAAAAACGAAATTTATACAAAGAAAAAATGTCATGTGACACCTAGTGTAACACTCACATGTGATCAAGACAATGACAATGCGAACAACCAACTCCCATATGAGGCTCTCATTGAAACGTTTTTTAAGATAATTTCCCCAGATAATTTCAACCGGTACATAGCATTGCAGTCCATACGAAATGAATGTGGCCACTGTGAATATTCCTTGAACAATTTTTGTTATGCTGCACATAAAATTAACGAAAAATTTAAATTAACAAATTTAAGTTTTGTTGTGGCATTAAATACGTATATATATCGTGTATGCTTACACAGAATCTGGTGGTAAATTAAGTGTAATACTATCTTTGGAGTGTTCACCATATTTCCAATAGCCAACAAATCCGAAGAAAGCATACAATAACGTGATAACAAACATTCCAACGTTTAATACACCGAATTTTGAGCCAAATGATTTTGGTGTTTGCATATTATTTTCCAAAGCGACCACAACGCCGACCGCTTCAATTGCAAACAATGTGGTGCCAAAGAATAATGGGAATTCGTTAACTTTGCCAAAGGTATCAAGTTTACCAATTGACTGTAAACCTTGGAACACAAAATACAAAATAAGCCCAATACCTATAACAGAACGAGAGAAAAAAACAAATTAGACATTAATTGCAATAAATTTAAAAGATTTAAATCATATGTTCAGATTATTATTTACCAATAAATGTGATGGCATTGGCCAAGGTCGAAAATGGTGCCAATACTTTCAAATTGCGAATACAATTCAATAAAATTAACGGCAACAACAATATTAACATATAGTATTCAACGTCCAATTCATACCAAACGTCTACAAATTCTTTTATATTCTTTGCGACAAACACAATATAAACGCAACAAATACCCAATTGATAGACTATCAAAAAACCATCAACGATCAATCTGGAATTGTGAAAGAATTTGTTTATTTTCTTTTATTTATTTATTAATAGTTATTGATATTTGTACAAAGAAGTTTTCTTTTTGGTCACTTGTAAGCGTCAAAATTTATTATAAAAATCATAAACTTACATAGCAAATGGAGCCAACCAACGCAGATAGGGCGGTCCTTCTTCCAATGCCATTTTCATCGATACCGGATACGTTAGAATTGGAACACGGTGACGTTTACATAAAATGTACTGAGATCTCACCTAAAATTTATTTGAAAAGAAATATGCATTAGAAACACAATTTATTTGTCGTTTAAAATATATTCGAAATTATTAATTATATTAATAAAAAAACTTACTAAAATATGAAGGCCCCATGTGCACAAAATTCCAATCAAGATAGTACAAACAATGCCATTAAGATAGCCAGACTGATGAAATGCCTTGGGCATTGCTAAAAGTTAATTCGTTTTTAATTATTATTTATCATCACTCAGATAATTATTTTCATTAATATTTACCTAAGATACCCGTGCCCAATGAACCTTTCAACAAATGCACCAATGTTTCGGTATTACTAAAGTCAGAATAAATCATTCGAATTGAAAAATGTTGCAAAAGTTCAGAAATTTTTTCAAAGTGCTCTTACGTTGTTGGATGCGGTACATTTCGATGTAAATGCGGATCATATTCGCTATCGGGTTGCAATGGAATTTCGGCATCATTTAAGTTTCTAGTGAGAGAAAAAGTAAAACAAATCATGCGATGAAATTAAAAAAAAAACACTGTAAAATCCTTACTGTAATTTGATGCCATCTTTCTTCGATTCCGTTGGTGACGTTGACATGATTGATGATTTTGAATTGTTGACCGTGTGCACGTTCTTTTCACTCTGTGGCTTTTGTTTCGATCCCAAAAATCGGTGCTCCCAATTATTATAATTCGTTCAATAATTGGTTTCTATAACAGTTTACTGTTTAGAAATTAGTGAATGAAGAGATACAAACAGAAAGAGAGAGGGAAAGAGAAAAGAGAGAAATGAGTGAAACATAAATTTGAGAATGAAATCAAATGAATATATTAATATCTAGTCTATAGACACAACTCTGACCGATATACGGCAATTGAATAAAGTGGAATGAAATGTATTTAAGAGAGTTCAATTACACGGGTCAATTATCCAATATATGATTCCCCGTCGCTGTTTCTATACATAAATGACATTGCGTTCGTTTGTTCAAAAAGGTTCTTTTGGGGCGCGTGAGATAGTGAGAGCAAGAGTTGAATCATAAAAACAAAAACATTGACACTACTCAAATAGCGCGACAGCGAAATGCAAAGAGAAGAACTTTGATTTGATGATGAAACGAAAGAAAACAAAAATAATCACAATGTGCAATCTAAGCGATTGTGGTGTCGTAGATTAAATATTTCTCGGATCTTAGCCTTCAACAAAAATAAATGTTAGTTTTAGAACAATAACAAATGGAAATAAATCGACCTTATTAATGCAGTCAAATTCACTCCCTCTTAATGCTCAAATTAACTAGTGTCCATCGCGTAAATTTTTTTTTTTTAAATATACGTTCGCCATCTAACTCGGCCACAATTCTGTATAAACTGATATTGTTATTAACATAGATGCTTTATTTTGTGTTGATGCAGTTAAATAGTTGTATCATTCTAAAGTCATTGCGTTAAACTGCTCTAAGTCAAGTCAGAAGGTTATCAATTTTATTTATATTCGAAAATTTTCGTCATTCATTTCACAAACAACCATATTAATTCCTTGTTTTGTAGCTGTCCGTCTGTGGGTCGGTATTTCATTTTTCATGTAAATAGATTTCGTTTAAAACGATTTGATTTGATTGTTTGCACAGAACGAATCAATCAATGGACAATAAATTCTTTTTTTTTAGTACAAAATCTCCTTTTGAATATAGCTCAATCACAACAATCATGGACAATCACAATGCGCATCACATCAAATCAATTTACTGTATCTTGCCCTCACCTAAATAATAGTCATGTGCTTCAGAATCAAATACGTTGATTTACATGTTTCAATTCTTATGTTGTTGTTTTTTTTTTTCGTTCATCTTTGCTGTATTTTTCATACTGTTGATTTGTTTATACGTGCAAGCAAATACAACCTCGCCAACTACACAAGAGAATTGATATGTTTATCGTTCGGTTTCAATCAAACTCAATTATTTTGGCAAAAGTTTGTGCATATCAAATTGATTCGAAAGAAAGTAAAAAGAAGTGGAATAATGTTCACACACACATGCAGTTTGGTGATCATGCTGTACAAAGGCTCGATTTAGCTTATTCACGATTATTTTAAAACGTGAACAAGAAATTTGTCACGTTCAGCAACAACATGAATCCGTCGTCAGCTTGTGTGACTTTTCTCGAATGTCGGCTGCTTTGATCTCAAAAAAACAAAAATGTAATACGATCACCGATGTCGTCTTAAAAAAATAAACTTCGAGGGCGAATGTATGCAAGAATGTAGAGTGTTGTTATTTTAAAATATAATTCTCGAATTGAAGATAATGAAAATATCATAGCGGATAAGATAGTCAGTTATTTATTTATTTTCATGAAATTGCGTTACTTATTGTGTATGGATGATCATGCATCTTGGCTTTGATTTTGATTTTTTTAAAAATAAAATTCCGAAAAAGTTCAACGAAAATAACGATTCGATATCATTGCAATGAATCGCACATGCCATTTATCTCCATCAGATCAATAAAGCGTATTTGTTTCTGTACAGGAAAATCGTAAAACACGGCAATTTACATAAAAAATTCAAAGAATTTGACCCGTACGCTCAAAATACTATGTGCATATTAAATTCATGTGCAACAAACAAACGTTGGAATCGTACAAAAGTTCTATTCCGATTTGTCGTCGTGCGTCTATGCAACCGATGAATATTTACGTGTTCTGTTCTGGTGTGTCTGTTGTTGTTTCAAATTTTAAAATGCGTCTATTTATGTGTCATATAAAACAATGTGTGTATTCATTATTGTGTGTTCAAACACATTTCTGTGTGTGAGATTTCTAAAAATAATAATTTTGAAAAACAAAAAAAGAAAAGTTGGCTTTGCTTTTTCATGATTTGAGTGCATTTCGTTTTTAATATTTATGCATTTGTTTGTTTGATTCGAACATTAAAACAAAATTCTTCTGTTTACATTGGCCCAGCTTCTCACACAGAATTTCAATTGTTCGATTTTAATATTGAATCCAAAATATTTATTCAGTTGCTTTCATTTTTAATCAACAAAAAAACAAACTTTTTTACAGTAAACAACATTTTGAAGTGACCAAGCTTGATGACTTTTAAACTCACGGTTCAGCAGACCCAACAACTCTTTTCCATACAATACCAACGAAATAGAAAATATTCAAATCATAAAAACGAATTAATCTCACGCCTGACAAATATCTCTCTTTTCGTTTGCGCTCGTTTTTTTCTCTACCGCATTACGTTCCGTTCAATGATTTCCATTCACACTTTGAAACGAATAACTTTGTACCTCTTTATTTCTCTCTCTCTCTCTTTTGAAATTAACAAACATCGTTGCTATCCCAAAATTTGAACTTTGGTACTGAAAATGTGTACTTTACTCAAGCATTCAAAAATGAACACAAAGTGACTTTTTCAAATGTCAATATGTTACTCATTCAATTTTTTTTCAATCTCAACATCCACTGTTACATACAAACTATAAAACCGTACACATGATCACTAGCATGATCATTGAATTAAAAAAAAAACACTAAATAAAATTTGAAATTTACTTGTTGATTCTTGAATTGCAATCAAATTCACAAAACGGCAACAACTTATAAAAATCTCGAAAATTGTTATATCAAACTTTGAGGTGAGACAGAATCAAATAGCCGATTTTGTTAGATGATATTTTTTTTGTGTATTCTCGTGTAATACTCGCGTTGCCGGCGAAACTTCTGTCTACGACGTATATAACATGAACGTAAACTACTGTTTTTACTGATGATATGAATAAATCTCTTGTAAAAGAACTTACAATATGTGTGTGACGCCGTTCGCGCTATGCTACGCAATGTACAATGTACTCGCCGTCTCTCACTTGTGACGACTGGATTCAAATGTTTGGTTCTATTTCGGTCTGTGATACTATGTGAAAGCAGTGCATATACAATTATACATACAGCCACACACAGAATGGGCGAAAGAGAGAGAGACCGAGAGAGATAAAAGCAGAGAAAGAGATCGTTTGACGAAAAAAGATGGAAGATAGAAAAAAAAGGTAAGAATAACAACGAAAACGATTTTAAAAAAAGAAGAAGAACACTTTTTGTTCTTTTTAAACATAAGAGAGAAAAAAAAACCAAAAATGTGCGCTTATTCAAGCATACAGCCAAAAATTCGACCGTGCATGCAATATGGTATAATAACATACCCATCCGTGTGTGTATTGTATATATATGTACTTGAAATGGTTTTGTCTGTGCAGAAAAGAATGACATAAAAGGAACGAACGAATCGAATCGAACAGAATACAATAATTCGCCGAACAAAACACAAGCATTCCCCGAAAGAAGAAAGGAACACACAGGAATTAAGAAGAATGAACGTATATGTTGCAAGCACATGTTTTGTATGTGTGTCTCTCTTCATTTCTCAAACATCTCATACGTTCTCTGTGTACATACTTCCAGTGTATTCTACCGGCTTTTTTCTCTTTCGTTTTGGTTTCGGTTGAGCAATTTTGACGGTTGTCTCGATTTACGGTCACTAGAAAAAAAATGATTTGAGTGCAAAGTAAGGCGAAACCATCAAACGGAATGAAAGTAGATTGCGCGCGTGTATGTTGATTAACGGCATAGCAAATGGCCAATGTATTAAATGATTCAAATTGTACCGCCGTAAGAGTAGGTAGCGATGAATGATTTTTGCATTTCAATCACCCTTCTTTCATCGGCCACATGCGATTCGCGAATCATTTCGAGTCGGCAATAGGCTTGTCGGATTTATATCTCTCTGGTATTTTTTGTTGAATTTTTCTAATTTTGACCTTTCAATCCACGAAAATCTCAAATTTTGGCATTGAAATTTTAAAATTATGCCACTCAACAAAAAAATACCAGAGAGAGAGAAAAAAAGTCCGACAAGCCCAGTCGGCACAGTAGTCAAAACCGCCATAAACGTATTAAATTGACTAAAATAATGTGTAATAAATTTTCTATCTCTCTTTTGAATTTCTTTCATTTCAATTTTCCATCCACAGATGTTTGTCTGTTGCTTGCTCAACAATTGTGGAGCATGAGTTGGGAACGGTGCACTCGCGTTGCCAACGAAATGAATACAAAGACAGAGCGGCGGAGAGAATGAAAGAGAGGAAATGCACTCGACGTGCAATCAATACGAAATGGCAATGACATGCATGTAAACACACGCATCTTTCTATTCAAATCGCCCGAGTGTGAAATTCTAGTAACATTTTTACCGTTCTTTCTTTTGTTATTTAATCGAAGTCATGAAGAAACTAAAATCCAAATTAAAATATGATGATGATGAAACACACACACATACACACACAGTTCTATCATCGTTCTCACTATGTGTAAACACGTTATTCTTAATTTTAATTTCAATTAAAAAGTGTTTTTTCATTCTCTCTTTCCCACTTTGATCCGAATCTCTTTTGATTATTTCATTTCTTTTAAATAACAAACTCCGATATTTGCTTGCAAAAAAACACACAAAAAGACCGATTACCAAGTATTCAAGTTAGAAACAGACACAAAACATAGCTTTTTCCATCTCATTCATTCTCTCTCGTTCACGTTCGCCTCTTCTGTTACTCAAGGAAAATGCCGCACTAATTTCTCATTGTTTATTTGCTCCATGCAATTGTTTCAATCGAGTTTTTAAATACTTGTTTCAATAAATGTCGATGAATAAATGCATTAAGAATGTTCATTATTACCAGAGCCAGAGAAAATGAAAACCATTTTTTTTTTCTTTTTCTTCTTTTTAAAACAGCTTTCAACACAATTTTTTGAATGAAATCGTCGTATAATGGCATCAATAAATTGTGGTTTTCGCTGCAACTCTACCACACCTTTCGATGTACATTGTTCACACTGTCACTTAACAGAACTATCATGAAACCAGATAAAAACCATAACCGAACCCTCTTTAGATTTTACGCTCACATATTGATAAATTTGACAATTTATACATTGTTATATTACATGTAAGACAAACTGCTAGATAGATAGACAAACATAGATAGTGCTAGAAAACCAATATCGCTTTTGAATATTACATTTTCATTCATGTTCACCCGTATTGACTTTGTCGATATTTTCCCGATGATTACATTTCATATCAAATTACACCCAATTAAATTCCAGCAGAATAACAAATTAATTAAACAAAAAAAAGAACGAAATAACACAACACACTCACCGTATCATGATGATATCAATCCATCAAGACTAGTAATTTTGCATGAAAAAATAAAAATGGAAATTTATACTCTTTAATACTTTAATGTTCTCTGCTCTACACCATGAGCACATACACAATGTATGCAAATATGATAAAAATGTATCGCACACAAAACAAAGAAAATATTCATTCACAGACAGTTAGGCGACGATTGAATCATCTGAAAAATTATGTAATAAATGACGATGTACGACAAAGTAAACAAACAAAAAGCGCGGAAATGTGGGCAAGAAACAAAAAATGGTAAAAACCGAGAAAAACGTAAATCCAATCAACTATATCTGGGAGTGGTAATTACTTTCAAATCATTGTTTCTTCGATAGCATATTGAAGAGTTTGTTTTGTCTTTTTGGTTTATTTAATTACACTAATTCGAATTTCGATGAATTGATACACCGTTTATTATATTTATACACTACTTTGAAGCACAATTTTTCATATAACTGCGTTATCGTTTAGTTCTGATGTCGATGTCGAGTGGAATGAATGAGACGATACGCATTTAGGAGCCGAAATGTCATCGAAATTGTTTACACCATAGTAATGGAGTAATGGATGAAGGGGGACCGATTTTCATTCAACGATGGATGTCTTTTTATGCACATTTTCGTACCATTCTTTCGACTCACGGTTGACAGTAAGTGAACGCAGACGATGAATATCTGTGGTGCTCTGTTCCGCAGGCGCAACATTTGCACATTTCCCCTTCAAAGTACGAACCATGCACATGCTAAACCATTTGAAATCAAAAGAACGGTTTTTTTCTTGAATACCGTTTTGAATTCTTCACCAAAGAATACATGAGCCAAGAATCTGTGTATTTTTTATTGACATAAGAAAACTTATCTAAAATCTAAACTGAAACTCATGTGATATCTATTTTTTTATAGATTTTAATATAGCACTGAAGTGAACATTTGAAACAAAGCATTTCTGAGATCTGAGATTTTTGATACAATTGATGTCTAGATAATTTACTATTACCGTGACCAATTTCAATTGTAAAAGATTTTTTTTGTGCACACTTTAAAAAAATAAGATTTTTTGTAATTTTCTTCATATTTCTATCTCTTCCTGTCTTACTTTTGCTCTTGTACACAATTTGGCTTCAAAATACTAACCATATAATTTGTAGTCAAAGAAACTGCTTTTAAGCCGTTTGATTTTTTCACTAAAAGATTTAGAATGGAATAAAACACACGAATTTAATAAATTTTAATTGTATTTATTGTAAACAAAGTAAATCAGTCTGTGTTGATTACACTTGAGATAATTTTGGGTTAAATGTGGCGCACGTTGGAAATTCTAAATTATCAAAATTTGCTCAAACTGAGATTTAACGATGCAGTCATAGCTTCCCGGGTATAATTGTAGCGCTATTTACAGAGTGTGTACTATCTTATTTGCACTCTTTTGAAATTCTTTTATTCATTTTCTTCACAGAGAGTTTTTGGCAACATCTGGCTTTTGCTTTTATAGTAAACACGTTGCTATAGTGAAATTAACACTTATTAGAATTCCCAGTAGTAGGAGAACTTTCATTTAAAACCAAGTCAAGATGAGGTTGACATATCTGTCAGAAATATTCGTCCGTATGAAATCCAATACACAATTTGCTTTCATATTACTTCTTCTTTTTCAAGCGCGAGTGGCGCCACCACAAGCAATACATACACACATATGCTGTGTGAAAAAGACCAATACATGCGTACCAAGGGGAATGTCACAAAGAACGTACTAGAATTATATCATTCGGAATAGGTCGAAACAGGTTGGAATGGTTTGGAATTAGTGGTAATATAAATGTCAACAGATAAGCCGATATGGTGACAGATACGAAGTTTTCAATTCAGTCAGAAACATTTCAATATTTTTGTGAATATACTTTTTGTTGTAAATGTTTAATATATTTATTTAAATTATACAGAAATATATATTCACAAAAATATTGAAATGTTTCGGTGCCGACGACTGAATTAAAAACCTAATGTTTCTGTGAACAGTACAGTGTATTTGTTGACATTTACGTTGTCGCTTATTCCAAACTATTTCAACCTATTACGACCTATTCCGAATTATATAATTCTAGTACGTTCTTTGTGACATTCCCCTTGATGCGCACAATGCTCAGCTTCGTCTCTGTTACTTATTATTTTAAGCATACATGTGACTCTTGCGTGTGTATTGTGTGGAAAAAGAAGAAGTAGTACCGATTGTGAAATTTCATAGGGATGAAAATATTTCCGCACACAGTGCAGCCACTACAGGGAATTCTAATAGATAGCAAATTTAGTATAGTGATAACTATTGGCGCTAATTTTTTGAGTGTTTATAATATAAGCATCAGCAAACGTGAGCGTGATATATTAAGTCTGCGCTTTCGCTTATTTCTCTTTATTCTATCGCACACATCAACGAAATACAGTACGTACGAACAAGGACTATTGGATTATTGGATTTGAACGGGGAGCATACTAGGTCTTCTTTTCAGTAATATCCATAGTTTCTCGTTGCTCAAGTTTTTAACCTATTGCAAGACGCCCGTTTGTGTGTCTAATGCACACCAACAAGTAGTTCGTTATACAAGAACTAAGGCAATGGTTACTAGATTTGTATTTAGTCACTCGCACTGTGTTCGATATTGTGAAAGATAGAACAAAGAGAAACCAGCTAGAATACAAACTGTTTATACTACCAAGAAATCAGAAGAAAGCATATTATAAAGAGCGTCATTGGTATACTCGGGCTATAATCAGACAATGTATTTGGATTTGGTCATCTGGACGTTTCAGCTCATGTGGATGACGTCAGACGATGATACGGAGTGAAGACAATAGAATTGATCGATCTAGTTATCGTAGTATTTTATACATATAACAATCACTTTTATTGCTGTCGCTCCATTTCAGCGCCTGACATCAGCCAGATGAGCTGAATTTTTCGGATAACAATATCCAAATATATTGTCTGGTTATAATTTGTTTATAATTTTCTGAATTACCTATTCGAAATTCATTTAATATGACTTCAAACGTGCGCTATAATGTAGGAAAATTTATTGAAATATTTTCACAATATCACTTCTAAATTCAATTTTTTTAAATGATGCACTGTGAATCTATAGGGATTAAAAGGAATGTATTTTTTTATTTCATGATTTTTGCAATTGTTTTCTTGGATTATTTTGATATAAATTTTAATCTTTTCATTTTTTCAAAACCATTTGAATTTTTTACGAAAAAAAATCACAAACAATTATTTTTTAATCCATATAGATTTAGACATTTATGACATTTTCCTTTTTCTATTTACTTTCCATATTAATCTTTTTATCTTTTTATTATTTCAAATCAAATGTTTAGCGACTTTTAACACTAAAATATTTTTGACATTTCGAATGAGCACCGCTCCATGATTTTATAAATGAATGAATCTTAAATAATTTAATCCGTAGGGGATTATGAAAAAAATCTTTCAAATAACAACATATCGGCAAAATATTAATTGTATATTTTTCTTTAGAGTATGTATTCCTGATCTTTTTCGTATATTTGAGGTATATTTCTAATTATCTAACTTAGATAGCTTTCATTTTGATAAATATATCAGAACTGAATAAAATGTTAACTAGACCTTTGATTTATCACTTAGTACCGGTTAGTTCGGTTCATTTGGTTAATTTTTTTTAATTTCCGCGAAAACAGAAATTTCAGAAACATATTTCTTTCTTGGTCATTTTTGGCACTGGTTTGAATGTTTTTGAGTAAATTATAAAGATTATTTTATCTTTTGAGCAATTGAGACTTTCTTCAACTTCGTTTAATTTTGTTTTTAATATTCCTCAGTCCTACGAAAAATGAATGGACATAAGATTAATAAAAAAACTCTTTTCAATGGGATGTTTTTTTCTCAATTCTGTGATGTTGATCTCTGATATTACTGTTTTTTTTTTTTGAACTTAGGATGAAATATATTTACCGTAATATCGATGAGTCAGAGCATCGGAGTTGCTCAGTTGTTATTCTCATCGTCGACCTTTTCTGGCTTGTTACCGCGTTTCATCATGTAAATTTCTCTTGGCGTGTAGTAGCGTTTCTTGATCTCCTTTGGTACCACACTGTTGTCAACCATTTTGCTCTCTTTCACTTTTTCGACTGGGGTGGCGACTGGGCTTTCGACATCTTCGCTGTCACTGAAAAGTGTCCAAAATTGGCGTCTATAATCAGCAACTGTCATTTCACGTCCCACATTCGTATCACTCTCACTTGAATTTCGGTTGGTATCTGTTTCACCCAAACTCCAGTTATGACTCGAATTAATCGAATTTGCGCCAATGTTGTCGTTGCCATTATTGGCATCGTTTTCACCGTTGTCATCGTCGACTTCATTTGGCTCTGGATCTCGATCGAATCGAAAATATTCTCTGCCCAAAAAAATTGGGATACGATCATCGAGAATAATCGATGGTTGTTCCTCTGGTGTCGGTTTAACGTATGACTTTGGAAAGCAGTCAATTGGTGCCAAAATACCTGGTGTGTTTTGTAGCAATCGTGTGAGCTCACCATTTTTGGGTTTTTTTTTCGTTGAGTTACTTGGAATTTGAGTCACTGGCATCGTTTGCTGTTGCATCACTTCCGGGTAGACTTCATCTGGTGTTACGAACTCTGTGTCACAATCATCAAGGCTATGGATAAAGTCATCCTCGTTAATGTTCCACATTTTGAATGACCTGAAAATGAATCCAATTATTGAATGTTTTCGGTGAAAAAGTCTTACAATCGAAGCGTCTCTTCTTTATAAATGTAAAAACAAAATATCACAAATTTAATGTAAAAGAATTCCATACAATTCAAACAATCGTTGCCATTTATGATGAAATATTTGACAAACAACGAAGTTTATGAAATTTGTTTACAGTATACACTTAATACAAACATTTTTTGCACACGACATCATTTTGAGATTTGTGTAGTTCAACATGTAAATCAGATGACATTGCATGTTTGCAATTTTATTTCTTTCTTTCTTACTTTTATTTTATATGAACTATCCTAACAAAACGAATTAATTTGCAAATTTTTAATTTGCATTGGTTTTGGCGTGAAATGGTTTCCTACATTTATTATTGACAAAATAAAATTACTTAAAAATAATTGACAACTTACCTTTTTAAGTTTATTTGATCGAATAAAACTTTTCGTAGATGTCTGTGTTCTTTTTCTCGGTATCAGCTACTTTTTTTTATCTGCGTTGTTTTATTTGCAAAACTGTTATTCTTTTAAACTGTACCGCACAACAAGTGGTAATCGAGTGTTCGGCCGAATGTTACCGAATACAGCGTGAAGTTGGTGCACGTCAACCATGATGTGTCAAATGTCATGTTGTGTTATTGGAACACAATAGAAAATGAAACTTATTCACTGAACATTTACAAATGACCAAAAACAAAGTCGGTTTTTATTACAAAAAATTTTTATACAATTCATTTAAATAAATTCATACGATTTGTACTACGTCAATAAGAACTAGTCTACACTTTTTTGCCGTTGATTTTTTGCAATTGCTTTCGAGAAATTTTGTCAAAGAATAAAAGTCCAGCTGACCGTTCAACTGATTCGGGTGGAACCTAGACGAAAATAAGTGAAATTTAATAATTTATCGATGTTTAAATTTTTCTCGAACGGAATTTTACCTGAAAAACTGCCAATGGTGTTTTGTCATCGATAACTTGATTTGGCATCACATATGATTCTAATTCAAGTTTTCCGTCGGCCGTTTCGCCAACAATAACTTTATAGAAATGTGTTGGTACTGCAACCGAATTATTTCCAATTACTTGATATTTAACGTACACCTTGCCGTCGGCTTCTTTTTTTGGTAAATACAATGGTCCAGTGCATACATAAACATTTGAATAGGTTTTTGTCAATTTGCGAACGTATTTTTCAAGGCGATTCCATGAGTCTCGATTGAAACCACTGCCAACTTGTGGTGCCATATTTGTAAGATAGAATGTTTGTTCGCAATGTTGTTGATGTGATTTATGATTGCCAGCGGCTGCCAAATGGCCACGATCAAAACCTGATCCTTTATAGTCGGTGTTTAAACTGCGAAAGAATGGATGAATTGATTCGTCGGGCTTAAAATCGCATTTACTCCGATCAACATTTGGACTTGATTTAACACCTTCCGCAGTTAAATGTTCAAATACCCAGTGTGCAACACGATTTCGTCGATCATATGAAAGTACATAATCGGAATAAGAGCGAATATTATCCATGCCAGGAAATCCGTATTTCATAATTTCACTAACACGATTTGGTTCGGCCACCAATTTCGATGGCTGCGGCACATCGGGAACAAATGGGGTGGCTGCCGAGACTGTTCCAAATATTGGTAATGCTGGCATAGCCGTTAGCTTTTAGTGAAGACAAAGAGAAAATCTAGAAATTAATTCCAAGTCTAAGATTGCAATTTATGTAAATTTACCGTTTTAATATCTTTGCACGCATGAACCAAATATGGATTGGTACTTTGATCAAGAAGTGTGATGCAACGTTTACGTTCATATGCAATTCCACCGATAAAACTGCCTATCGCCAGTCCCGATAATGTGGCAAAACGAAATGCTAACTTTTTATTCATTTTGTTTTTCTCTTCCCAATTTGAATACACAAATTAAAGTTTTCACAGCCAATGCAATTGCTTTATATTCACAATTTTTATTTAATAATCAGAAGAAAGAGACACATTTCACTTAATCTCTTTCTTTGACTAGATTGAGTCTAAATAAATACCACGAAATTTGTCAAAATGAGCCATTCAACTTGTCAAATGTAAAATTGAACACGTGTGAAACGACTAACACATTGAAACCAAAACAAATGGTTGATGGCCTGACTAATTTTTTTTTTTTTTTTTCAAGTAATAAAGCGCACTGTTTTTTTTAAATGATTATATTTTTTATTCAAAATGAAAAAAAAAATCGAATACAAAACTAGGGAAATTTGTTTTAAAATGACCAGTATTTCTAAGAGAAATGTTACGATTTTAGTATAGAGATGCAATCAATATATTTTGTTGTAGTTGTTTCCTAGGTATAGATGGAATTTTTTTTATTTTATTTTAATTCAATCTTAATGCTAATTTAAATATTAAAAATACGTTCATCAACAGTTGCATTTAGTTATTTGTTGCTTTTTGAAGAATTAGCATGATGATCGATTAAAAGGTACATTTGTAATTTGTCGCTTGTTTTTTTTTCTCATTACAAACATGAATAATCTCTCGTGTTTACTGTTATTTCAAAATAATTTTTGAAATTAATGAAGAAAAAACCCAACTTTTTTTTATTTTCAAAATATCTTTTCGACTTTTCATTCATAAATCGGTTCTTTGTGTATGGTTAATATTTAATTTAACATGATTCTTTATTGCAATCAACAAAATTACTGAGTTCGGTTGAGTTTGGCGGTCCAGAACTATATAGATATGTAATTGGCCAGAGACGAGCCGACGCAATGTCTTCGAGATTTTGAAGGCCACCGGGTCGTGGAGGTTGTTGATGGTATGAGTCATTTGTGTTGGAACCTTTTCGTTTATTGCTTGTATATGAAATTGGTGATGTTTTCTTTTTATTCGAATTATTGCTACTACTGCTTGACATATGACTGTTACCACCACTGGAACTAACTGGAAAATATCGATCACTACATGTTCGCCATTGGTCTGGACCTTCACCCACAAAACACCTGCAATTTTTTTTTAAATCCAATTAATTTCGGGAAAATTAATTTTATTTTATTTCAAAAAAATATTTAAAAAAAATAACGAACCATGGATAATCGAAACCTTGTGAATAACCACATGGATAATCAGCTTTGCAGCAATAATCCCACGCACCGACTTCATCGCCATCAAGTTCGCACGAATAGAAACCGGTCACAAGGTTTTTATTACAACTTGATCCAGGTCGACATGCTTTTCCCGATACCGTAAAGTGACTCCAGGTGTTATCGCCTGGTTTAGTTTTTATTCAATTTGCGGTACACACACATTAATTTATGTTCTTTTTGTTTCTCATTAAAATTTATTTTGTGAGGTGGAAAATATTGTGGTTCTTGCTAAATTCTAAACTAATCATTATTTTCATTGTAAGCAATTTTTATATGAAAATAATATTTTGTTATTATGTGTGGCTCTACACGAAGATATCATATTTACATACATTGACACAGAAAAACTGTGTCATTTTGATTACACAATGTAAAAGGATTGCACGTCAAGGAGTGTTTTGGGTGTGTTATTCGGTGGATTTTCATGTTTAGAAAGCATTGCACAATTAGTAACTGTTTTTTTTTAAATCCTAATTTTATACATTAATTTACAAAAAAAATACTGATTATTTTATTCTGATTTTCTCTATTTGTTATTGAGTATATTGATGAGAGTGTGTGCTGTGTTAAGTGCATAATGCGTATATTTTCCTTTTACCATCTTTTTCTCGGAATATATCCATTCGACGATCGTTATTTGCACGATTTGAACCACCAATGGTGGCCACTTTATCGCGACATGTTAAATCGAACGGATTCCATGCAAACAGCCAATAATCACGATCATTTGTATGCGCATAATCAACATTCAATTTCAATTCGCTTTGATCTAAATCGGACATTTCACAGTTGAATGTTGACGCTTGTGAACTGGAATTTTTTTGAACATGAATGAGAGAGTTTATCAAAAAGAAGGGCAAATTTAAATTTAGTTACCCAAAACTAAACGAATAACATTTGAATGGTGAATTTTCACGCAAACGAATACATTCATTTTTGCAGTCAAGTTCAGTCGGAACGGAGACAACCTTTTTAATTGCTGACGAGAGCAGCTTGGCCGGTGAACCGTATCCCAAATAGCATACTGTAGAAGAAGCATATACTTTAGTTTTATTTCTTTTAAATTAATTTTATGGTTTTAATATCATACGTTTCTTGTGTTTGTCATCGGTGATTGGTTGAATCTCGCATCCATGTCCATAGCTGGCTCGCTCATATACATCGAATGTATTGTCATGTATCAAATGACGATCTTTATCCATATCACGAACGGGCCAATCGGACAATTGACAATTATCAATGATACTGCCTGGCGTCTTTGGTCCATACCTAAAATTACAATTGTGTATAGATTTGAAAAAAAAACACAACCAAATAAGCGAACCACCATAAATTACCTATAAGAAAATGCACGACATGTAAATTTGGTTGTTTTGATACATTCCATTTCACATTCGCCAACTGATCGCACGGTTAAGGAGTCGCGAACAATTGACTTAAAAAATCTTGTCAAATCGATTGCTCTGAAGAAGCATTCTATTAAAATAAATACACAAAAAATGGCGAAAATTAAAATTTTGAGGCATTGTAAAAAGTGTTCAGTTCTTCACTGCGAACCATGTTGATTTTCACTTACGTGCATTATTATTTTCGTGACGGCTATGGGTGTTTGCCATTTGTGAGCACATCTGTGGATCGTCCGACATTGAATAAATGTCGTAGTCACGATTTGGTTCGATGTCCGTATAGTAATCCAAATGGCTCATTGGTCGATCGCATAATAGACAATTATCCCTGGTATGTGGTGAGTATTTATAACTGTATGTAACGCAACGGAATTTGGTTTCCGAGTAACACATTCGTTCGCATTCAGTTACAGTCGGAACATTATAAACGTAACGGGTGACAGCTTTGTGTAAACGAAAACCTTCACTTGTTTTCACCGAACAATCTACGCATGCCATTCAATATAAAATGAAACAATTAAAAAATTCGTATTTCAAAGTCAGTGCTATTATAACAGCTCTGTTCGAAATCAAACGAAAACAAGAAATATTGAAATATTTACCATCTTGACCAGGACGTCGTGTCCATAAATTTCCATAATAGTTTTTATCCTTATCATATTGATATGAAAGTCCATTATCATATTTACTACCCGGATAGCTAAGTACAGCATTATCGTTTGGATTAACTTTGGGTCCATTACCTAAATTGAAATAGTTGAAATTGGCATCATTTCGTTTGAAATCGTTTGCTAAACCCCAGAAATCTTGCGATTGATGATTATTATGTTGTGAACCACCATAAGTACCGCCATAAGTTGCCCATGAATTCGCCTCTTTATTGATTGTATACGGAATGAATGGTTGAGATTGTGGTGATTTTGGTGGTGGTTTATAGCTGTGTATAGGTGGTTGTGATTCACGTTCTCTATCCAAGTAATTGGGATTGGGAAAATGGTCCGGTTTTTTTGGTCGATAACCATACGATGAATAGCCTGAATCATGCATCGGTGGTTTGTACGGGCCCAAATATTCATTAGAAGATGATGGTGGTGCCGGTGGTGGTGGTGGTCTTCTCGGTGGCTGATAGTCATTTTCTTGTGTATAGCTTGGTCTTGGGAAATGTGGTGGTGGATCGTTATAAATTGAGATCTCGGAGTAAATCGGACGATCGACTGGTTTTACATGATCATATCGATCCAAATCATAGCTGGGAGGTGGTCGATAGCCTGACGATGAGAAATGACTATGTGAATCATAACGGTTGTATTCATATGAATCGGGCGGCGGGCGATGCTCATAATGTGGATAATCAAATGATGATGGACGGTATTTATCCTGAAAATGTAAGATTTCATCATTTTTAATATAAAGTCAAAGTTTAACATTTGTTTCAAGAAAATGAAATGTTGACTCAAGAAATGAAAATTGAATGATTTGAGCATAAAATAAATACTTACAATTGCTGTATTTTCATATGGTGGCTGGAAACGGTCCGAACTATGATAATCGCCACCACGATTATGTGATGGTCTTGAATCTGAGTATGGAGGTTTAAAGTTATCGATTGGACGGTACGTTGTTGGTGGTGTATTGTAATCGGTTGGCGTTGGTAGATATGGTTTGCCACCTGAGTGTGGTGTGTGATCACGATCATCGCTATGACGATCGCCGCCGCCATCGCTGTAAACCGAAGGTGGTGGTTCTGGATAATATTTTGTGGGCGGATGTGATTCGGGTCGAGGTAAATACGGTTTTCCACCAAATGATCCACTGCCACAATCTTTACAAAATGATGGTCGACACGCGTTTCGATCGCGTTCATAATAATCATAGTCTGGATGAAAGATAAGATTCTCATCACGTCGACTGGGACTTGAGTAAATGTCCATTTCGGCAAGTGGAACATCAATCAATTCACAAATTCCTTGACCTTGTCCACTTGGATCCAGTCGATAGTTGAAACCTTCACATGAAAATCGCTTCTCCAGAGCGCATTCAGTTTGACAATCTTCAACTCGTTCGCACGTTAATGTATGTCGTACCCATTGTGGTGCCACACGTTTTCCGGCCAATGCACGTCTAAAACAAGCTATTCCAAAATTACGTAAAATAAGAAAGAGAAACGACGATGAAACAAATGAATTTCATAAAAAAAGAAGAAGAGAAAAATCGATTAACACTGCTTAAAATTGGAATCTTTTTTTTGTTTGTTCATTCACTAAAAGCTTCATTCAACTTTTCAATACATTGTGATGAAAGGGAAAAGATCACAATATGTGTACCATGTAATATGAAAAATAAATTGAGGGAACACACAAAGTACAGAAAATGAAAAATCGTCTCGGCAACATGCCGTGTATATATTGGGTCGCGTGCGATGCGCACACTTTTTATCTTAATGGGTAATCGCACACAGAAAATCCGAAATATGTTAATCAACCTAATAAAAAAAAACATACACACACACATACAAAAAGTTTATATGTACGTGACATTGAAATGTATACAAGTCATATATTCTTGGGTTTGTCTGTTTTTAGTTCGCATCGAATTGTTTACCTAATTAAAATTTTTACAGAAACAAAAAAAACGAAACCAGTAGTCGTACATTTGAGCACACCAATAAATAGCATCGGGAAAACAATAGCAGCGATGAGTAAAACACCATCGAAAATATAGTTATTAGTGTATGTGTTTCATGTGGTTCGTTGCCATTTGAACATTTCATGGGAGAAATAAATTCGAATTGTAAACAAAAAAAAATGAAAACAATGTGAAGCGCTTATGCAGTTTTGCAATCGAAAAACCTACATTTCCAACACTCGCCTCAGCTGGAAATTGACAAAACGAAAAAATGTGATGGTAAAATTCAGATCGAATCTTAACCAATTTCCCAATCGATGTGTGTAAGTTAATTTCTTTGACCGTGCATTCAATCTAGATGAAAACGGCGAAAAATAAAACTAAAACATTTTCGCATTTGCGACAAGCATATGACCTTAGCAGTCTTTCAATTGAGACTTAATTTCCGAATGAGTATACTTTTTTGTGTGCAACCATATAAAATGCTCATCAACACAACTAATTTGGCGACACATTCCCCATTAAATTCGTCTACAATTGTTCACATTTTTTTTTCTTCACGAATTGCATGCCATAACTTTACATGTATCGTATTGATGAAGTGAATCAATGAATAAAAAAAAAGCAACCTTTGAAAATCAAATGAATGAAATTGAGTATCCGTTATTTTTTTTTAAAGTTAGATTATGAGCTGTGAATATTTCGATCGCTTATCGTTCTCATTGAATATACAGTTTCCTCTGAATGATCAATCGACAACTGTATAGAATGAGAAGCAGATTCCGTCATCGACGATATGCTTGAATGCGCAAATCGCCAGTGCAAAATTTTACTCACACTCACAAAACAAATAGAAAATCGATTCGATGCCAGATAATAATGCACGGTTTTATAGAATGTCTAATTGTATAGATTATCAATGAACAAATGTGTGCGTGTGCGCCTTGTGTTCTACCCAAGCCTCGTTGAGCACGACATACTCCATCAAAATGAACAAAAAAACAAACAAACAAATAATCATTAAGTAAGCGTAATTACATTAGCATTCCGAAATGTATGCCGGTAGCTTGTGCTCATCTCATAAATTTTATTTAGGTAAATCATGTAAAATAAAAATGCACTATCAATGCTCATCACATACACATACCTTTGGCATCTTCAACAATAATTATCGTACAATCAATTGATACGCACAGTATCAACGCACATGCTATGAAATGAATCAACGATTGAGGCGGAAATTGTGATCGTCTGCCGTTTTTTTGTTGCATATTGTCACCTTCTTCGACACGAAGATCTTCACACAATTCTGTTTTATTATTATTATTTTTTATTGCAATATATGTATAATCGAGTGCGTTCGTCTTCTTATGTCTATTTGCACAAATATTCGCTTTTTTCTCCGTTTCAAAATGAGCAAATGATTATTCTTATCTCATCTCATGTTGTTGCTTGCACTAATTGGCATCAGTTGTCAATCAATGTTTACACTTTTTCTATAACATGTTACTTTAAATACGAACAAAAATCAACGCAACGAAAGCGAATTTGTTTCAATTTAATAAATTGTATATATGGATGTAACACAAGCCACTTTTTATGCGTACTCCTCACTCACTATTTAAAATTGATTTATTTACTTTTAATGAATAATCTCCAAGTCAAAATAGGAAATGACATCAAATGCAAACATTTGTCATAGGCACATATTCGAACCCGGTCTTTATTTACTGAATTAATCAAATACACGGAATATAAAGCAACAGGAAAAACAAATCTATATATATATAAATCACAGAAAATTTATAATACAAAACTATTGGTAGGCATAGTTGTTATCACACGAAGAAATGATCGCAAGTGATTGCACCGATTTTTCCTCAATTTTCTTCTTTTCGGCGTGAAAATGTGACAATGAGGAGCCGAAAGAAAACAAAACACAACGTGCTACACCAATGACTTTTAATTTGTTTGTGTGTCTTTTTTTCCGTCCTCTTCAATATTGTCCGTATGAAAACTTTTGCTTTTGATTATGCTTATGAAGACAAGACGACTGAAACTGAAGTACCATTTGTATGATGTATTTATAAGTATGTGCTGTTATGGCGCGCCAGTTCGTAAACTTTGCAAAATGGCAATTGCTACCACATTTTAAAGCACTATGAGCTCGTACAAGTTTTCTTCTTCTTTTTCTTTTGCGCTCTCGTCACGCTAGGTGTATGGGTCTGTCTGTCTGTCTATCTCGATAAATGATCCTATTCCTCTGCACTTGATGTGCGGGCGTGTGCCTGTGTGCGTGTGCTTGATTTGGCTTTGGCCGTTTTTTTTTTCATTTTGGGCTCGTAGTGGGGTGCTTCTTTTATGCTACTATTGTTGTGGTTATTGTTTAACGTATGCTCATAAAATGTATTTGTTTATGAGTCATATGTATTGTTTGGTTGTTTTCAATTTTTGCGTTTGTGTGTTTGCAGTTCAATCGAAAATGAGTGAAATCATGTACAATTTCATTTGAAAAAGATTTGGCGGTGTGCGCGCCCTTTTTTCTTTGATGCCACTATATTCACATTTTATTCAATTCAATGGGCTTTTGGATTCGCCGTGTGATAGACATTGATGCGAGTGTGTGTGTTACGTGCTTCAAATCCAAAAAATCAACCGACCACATTTTTAGTTTTTGGATTAAGCGAAAAGTGCAATCGCACATCAACCCGCCGCCACTCGATTGCACAATAAAACGACCAAAAATCGAATCGAATAAGTACTATACATCGGACTGACCATCACATCTTTCAGCATTAATGGTAAACTCTGCTCCGAAAAAACATTAAAAATTCCAAACGGCATGCATATTTGATTCGATGAATTGCAAACGATCAATGCGTTTTTATAACCATAAAAATTTATTTGACTTTTTGTTTTTTAACCGTTGATGGTATGCATTTGGTTTACAATGGTTTGGTACACCCTTTTTGTTTCAATTTAAACCCGTGCCGTTTCAATATTTGCGTCTACATTATGTTTCGTTTTTGCGCATGTATTTGTGTTTTGATTCGTGAAATATTGGCGAATTCATGCTTCAATTTACTGACCAACGCAAGATGATGTTTGTGTGTTTTTTTTTTTGGCACGCGAATTCTACGAGACAGATTCACTTGTCGTTCATCTCAGTTTCTCTCTCTCTCTCTTTCTCTTTTCAACCAGGTTACTTGATGAGTATAACTTTTCAACAAAAATCAAGGACAAAATCCATTCTCGTGTTCGGTCAGCTTGAAAGTTTTCAGCATTTTTGTTTATAATATAAATATATATCTGTCTTTAATTTATCTCTATTCGCATATGGTTTACTTAGCTTGTACTGTGCCGTTGCCGTGATTTTGTTCCCTCTTTGTTTTTTTATGAGGCTATGATTTTTTATTCTCTCTTTCACATTGTTTATAGTTTTCAGATTAAATCCGCCGCATTTGATTATAGTTAAAATGCTCTTTGCTCGCAACTCTTTTTTATTCTTCGCTCAATTCATTTGTCTTGTGGGTGCTTTGTATTGTATACTGCTATTCATTAGCAGCCAGTCTTCGAAAACAAATGTGTCCATCAAGTGAAGATATTATTATGCACATGAGTACAGTACAGCACACACACACACACACTATGCGAATGAATAGTGTTTAATTTATGAGTGTAACGGCCCCATGTATTTGATTCTGGGGCTCCTTTTCTGCTGTTTCGGCGGCCATCATACAAATCGGCAAAGAAAAATTTATATTTTATGCGTATCGGTGTGACTTTTGTGTGCAAACCAAATAAGATTGAAATATTTATGCATTTTTGCCGAGAACTTGAAGGTCCGAAAATCACGTGCATACGACAGCCATCCACCCAACATGAATATGAGGCATAGATCGCCAGTGAATATGTAATTGGTCGATGTAATAAATTCATGAATTCAAGTGGTCCCAACGATTGAAAATTGAGCTCAATACGAGATCGCATACGAGATTCCCACTTTAAATTCAATGGTCATCAATCATAAGTGTGTTTTTACATTTCATTTGCCTCGGCAAAAATCATAACTGTTGTTTTTTTCATTTGTGTGTAAATGCACTTGCAATATATTCGTTATTATTTTAAAATCTTGCTTATCTTGAACACGGCATCTTTTGAATAAAATGATTGAAGGATAAATCCGTTGAGTAAAACGGCAAATGTGCTTAAAAAATGAACTTACAGAAGTTTATCCGGTACCAGTGAAAATGAATGTCATATATTGTCTCGAAAAGTGCATTACTTCTCGGGTGGAAAATGAAGCACCTCTTCTGCTATTGTCGAAATGGCAAACACAACATTGTCACAGGGCTTAAGATAATTTTGTAGCAGATTTTAAATAAGAGCATACGCAAAACATTTACATTAAAGCGCATCTTATTCCAATTTGAGCTGGCGTTTGTTTACATAATACGATATTTTCTTTATCTTTTTACAGAAGTTAGTGTGCTTATTGCAAGTGCATACAAATAACATTGTTCTATCTTTCTATTTTACTGCCTTTCTCTCTCTCTCCTTCTCCTCTCTCTCTCTCTTTATTCTTTCTATTTCTCTCTGCGTTTCGCTCTTCGAGCAATGAAAATGGATTTAATGCCATATTCACCTGCTTTTGCTTTTCTACATTAGCTCCAAATGAAAATGCTATGCTGACAATGATGTGATCCAATTATGACATAATCGAATTGGGCCCTCTCGATTCGATTGCAATTTAATGCTATATTTTATGGATTTGCCAAACAACAAACGATAGTGCCCGCCCGAGAGAAAAGAAAGATGTGAATAGTTCTCGTAATCTATACTATATGCATAAAAATCGTGTTATTATGTGTATCGATTTAGTGATTTGAATCTTGAATGACCCAATTTCATTGGTGTGTATTTGTTTTGTTTCATTTCTTTCTCTGTTTCACTCTTTGTGCCTTTGTAAAATAAACGGAATATATTTCGGTAGTATATGGGCATTTTAAATAGCAAATAAGCAACAACAATGGGAATATAACAAGCTATTTATTTGGCGCTCTGTTGTTATTTAGTTAACGGAAGCAATTGTTATACACCTGAACACCATTGCCTGTCATATGTGTGTGTGTGTGCGCATACGCATATTGCCACCAATCAAACTGGAAATGGTTTCAATGAGTGCTCCAGCACTATTTATTTGAAACCTCTCACAACACATAGATCGCATAAAATGAAATAAAATTATTGTGTCTCGGTTTTACAAAAAAAAAAAATTGAAGCACTTTACAATTCATATTCCTGATTTATTGACGGTCAAATTCAACTCAGCCACATACAAAAATATTGTGCAACTATTTCATTGAGAGTATATGATGTGAAATTATTTTAATTACATTTTTTTTTCATTCTTTCAGCGGTCGAGTAGTAAACCTCATAAATACGCACATGGTTTATGCTCAACAAAAAATAAAAATCGCATTCAAACCAATCTGAAATCGATATATTCATTTTTTAATTGAGCCATTTTTTGTTGGATGTTTTCGCTTTGTGAAAACGACAAATTGAAATTGTTTTTTTTTTATTAAGTAGTTGCAAATGCAATTTTGAACTTTTAATTATTATCGTTTTTCGTATGTCATTGATTTTGCCACTTTTGCTGTATTTGACAATAAACATTTATTATTTACACATCAACAGAGCCATTTTTTATTATATCAAATAGTAATTGTCAAGAATGATTGTCGTTGTAGATGTATGTTTTTGGAATTAAGTGTCTAATTTTTGTGGATATGTGACGTTGATAATCAATTTTTCATTTCATGACACACTCGCTTTACCACACATAATATTGATGCTATTTATTTTGTGAGATTGTAATCGCATTAATTGGCTTCCGTTCGCCATAATCTTGGCATTCCAGCTGACCATGTGAAAACAAATACATCGATTGATCGACCCTACAATTCGATGTGAATCGAACAAAAAAAACGGTACGAAGTAGAAAAAAGTACAAATAAAGAGAATTCTTCGAACGATGTGTGTATGTCGATTAATTTGGCAGCTCATATATGGAACGATATATTGTGTTCGATGCGGTCTCATAATTCATGCACTTGATGACATGACACAAACAATGCGATGTTGAATGGAAAGCAACAGATTGGATTTTTTTTCAAGAATGTTTTTTTTTTGCCTCAAAAATCAACATGTTAATAAAACCGTAGTGGTAGCCGTACGATTTCAATGTATGTATATTTTGGATTTGCGCTTTTTTGCATTCGTGAGCACCGATTTCAAACAAACGAATACACTTCATTTTGTTCCGTATTAAATTGTGTGCATTTAGTTTTTGGTTCCAGTAGACTGAACGCTGAATTATGCCAAAATTCTAATGGGCATAATAATATAGACGTTATTCACTTGGCACATGGTGAATAGCAAGCTTACGTATGATATGGCCGAAAGATGAAGATAAAATTGAAGCACAACGCCGTTGTTTGAAGAAGAGAAAAAAAAACACAAGCTTACGTAGAAGACGAAGTTGAAAACATCAAAGCTCTAACCTCATATGTGTGAGAGAAACATGCAAGAGACATATTTTTTTTGCTGTTTAATGTTATAAAATGAACATAGATGATGTAATGTACGCGGCTATGCACATTCACAATGAAAACCGTGTTCGATATGAAAGAAAAGAGCAAAAAAAAAAAAACCGCGCACACACACACACACGTTCATCGTGAAACAAGAATGATTCGGAACAAAGGAATATTAAACTACTTGTTGAATTTATGTCAATCAGAAACTATTGGCTTAAGCACCAGAAATGCGCACACGAAAGCAGCAAGAAAACAACGCAAACACATCATTTACTAACTAATTGGCGGCAAATCTATACATTGCTCAGTAAAAGTGACGAAAATGTGAAGTTTGTATTTAATTTTTCCACTTGCCATGTGTGTCATCATAATAGGTTGCCGATTTAAAAAAAAAAACGAAACTATAACTTTGTTGCAAAACATTTTTTGCATAAAATTTGCGTTTATCAAAAAAAAAATCGAATTTTGTGCGATTTTGCATTAGAATTCAAAATATGATGAGGCTACGATGTAGTCATGATGATGACAAGAGATTTGTTTTGTTTTTACATTGAAGCTGATTCTTATTAGCATAAATTAAAAGCGAAACAGTCATATTTGTTTTCGAAGAATTCCACTCAATAATTTGAAAGAAATGAACCGGAACTTGGATTTTTGATTCATTTGTAGATGTGTATCAATTGCTACCTAATTGATTCCCATTGTACCCTTTGCGTGCAAAAAAGATTCAATTAGCCGGATCTAGTGGCTAAAAACTCAATTGTTAGTGTGCGTCATTGTAAACTGACTGTCATTTCACATTTTAAAAAAGTTTCTTAGAAAACCAAATCCTTCAAGTTTAGATTTTTTTTTTAAACGCAGTTTCGATGGACAAGATTCGTTTCGGTGTTTGAATTTCACGATGTCATAAAATAAAATGGTATTAAATGAGGTAATCGCCGTCAATTTTAAAAGTAATTTATATGTCGCGGTTACGCATTCATCTTTCGAATTCCTGAAATTCTTCCGGCAAAGTATCTAATTCCACAATTAATTGGCGATTAATTGAATGAACCACGAGAAAAAGAGGAAAAAAAGAATATGGATATGAGCACGCACAATGCAATGCGGAAAACAAAATGTGTGGTCACTGAAGTAATTGAAGTGTTAATTACCCAATAATTCTCATTTTAAAAGTAATTCTCTTTTTTCCACCTTGAATTTTCGAAGAGTTTGGCTTTTGTGAAATTTCTCACACTCAAAACGTTTGCTGTTTTGATGGGAATTTGCTCAAGATAGTAGTGACGATGATGATGGCGACCGACAGTATATATCTTATGCAATGAATGAGATCATTTATAAAATTTCACAACCAAAAGTTAATATATCGCTATTATCACTTGGCATTGAAATGTTTTCATACAATCGTATATGATTCCCATATTCTAAAAATGGACATTTTTTTTTCTCGTTCACCGCTTATCATTTGGTTTGTCCCCCCAGTGCTCATTTGATTTAGCTGTGCAAAATACTTTTCTATATTTATACATTGTTATAATTGTAAACAATGAATAGGTTCAGGGTCAACAAAATGGTCCATTTAAAAATAACTGCCCAGTCTTGTGTGCGGTAATAGACATAGGTGCAGCGCGAAGACGATAATTGAAAATTGGTGAATTCGAAATGGCACTTAATTGTTTATGAAATTACTTAATTAGCAACGTGAATAATGATTAATTAACAGAGGCTATACAGTCAACAACAATATGAATTTTATAGTTTTGTTGTTCGGTGCTTCGTTCGGATCATGAGAATTTACCGCCGAGTTCAAATCAGATGCAAATCGTGTGCGCGCGCGGGCGCGCAACCAAAACATGTGTGCGATGTCATTCAAAAGTGCGATTTGTTGCTGTTGTTATAAATTGTTGACGCTTTTATACAACAAACATCAGAAAGAAGAGAGAGCGAAAAAAAAATGACGCGATTCACAATGCTGTAACATTGATTTTAAAGTAGCATGGAAAATTTATTGCTAAAGTTCATAGGCGTTGCATGCATCGTCGATTTTAAAATTGAAATTTTTGCGCGCTCGCGATTATAAACGCGAACGATAATTAAATGAGAGCTCATTTCAAAAGACTGACACTTTTTTTTCTTTTTCAAAGTGTTATTTATTTAGTTTTTGAGCATTTTGCATTTGCATTTTAAAATAACAAGAACAACAACAAAATGGTAAATAAAAACAATGTAGAAATGTGTATATTTATGTGTTTATATCATTGCGACGTATCTAGTTGTTGTTTTGTGAACGTGATTAAACCGCGGTCATTCAGTATTATGTGCCGGAAATTCATAAGCGCTAGGATAATTTCAATGATTGTCTTTGGCATTAGGATTTATTTATCTAGTAACAAAAATACCATACAGTAATTCTTGGTGCGTTTTTTGTTTATCTCAAAACGAATTTGGTGCCATTTAGTATAAGGCATTTGATTGGTCGAAAAAATGGGCAAAAATGGTTTTGTGTGTATACAATATATGAGTGAGTACTTACGTCGTTGTCGATTGTCCAATGTCGTAGATGGACGATAGTTGCTTCCGCCATTGACGTCACCGCTTCCACTGCTTGGCTTATCTACATTTGAATAGATCATTTCGTCGCACACGAAAAGAATAGAAGTACAAAAGCCACCATAATCACAATAGTAAATTAATAATTAATTTTAGAAAAAAAAAGAAGGAACAAATGACATTTAAAAATTTAATGAGCGAAAATAATAAATACTCAGGATATTTGGATTTGAATGGGTTTTTTCTTCTTCGAAATGCGGATGGATATGCATAAATTTAATGGTCGCTTGAAAATGGAATTGAATGACTAACACGTTTGAGGAAAAGCACACAAAAACAATTAGTGACCATCGACAGAGTCCCAAGCCTATTATTTGTAATTAGATTTGCTCATTGACTTTGGCGAAGAGAGAAAGAGAAAAAAAAGCATCACAATTAAAGTCAATATGATATACATATCGGCTTAACATCTGATTGAATTTCTTTCACGTTTTCTTGCCAGCATCATGGCAAGCATATTTTGTTTTAATTCAAAATCGAAAATCCAATTGCACACACATATTACTTGGGACCCTTTGCCAATTCTACGAAAATGAATGTTGGATGGATGAATTTGAACGGAATGGACAGGATTTGATGGATTACATTTGAATGCTGCTGAGGATCAGTGCAGAAAAAAAAATAATAATGGCGGAAAAGAAAATGTATGATAATCCAAATGTATATGTAATTACTGATGCACAGATATGCTGGTAAGTCAAAATGACATGATGAATTTGATTTGCTGCTCGAAGATTATGTGTGATCGATTGAGATGGAATTCTTGCATTTTTCTTTCCATCATCATTCAACTATGTTCTAATTTAATATGACCGCGTACTAAGAAGACTCCGCACTCTTTTAAGCAAATGGAATGCTTTCGACGATAGAATTTTTAATTCAATTAATCTCTTTTTTTTTGCTGTTGTTCTGATATTGACTCAACACAGAGGACTAAGTTCAATGAATCCGATTATAAAGCATATCATTGTTTGGAATAACTGAACTTTAACTCTATTGACAAGTCTATACCATATCGTTATAATGAATTTTAAAAAAAACACGTTACCATCGTCTATATTGGCAACGGATGATATTATAGTATTTTGGGTGCTCATCAACGGCACACAAAACACACAGATCGGGTTATTTTGAAGCGCAGTGAACCGATAATTTGAACTAGAAGTGTGAAGTTAATTGGTTTAAAACAGCTGATGGTATTATATAAGCCAAACTTATTTGGATCAGGGTATTCATCTCGAAAAGTTTGTATTAAAATTAATTTTTTTTTCATCGCAAATAATGTGTCTAGCCGTCAAAATTGGCAATTGACTTATCATTGATATTCATCAAACATGAGTTAAGTTTTGTCGAATATGATTTTGAAGGGATTTTAATATATTCGCGGCCGATATATAGATACATATAGCCGAATATCGAAACTAAACCTTTTTTAATCTATAACGACATTATACTTTGAAAACTTGATGCAAATACCAAATTTCAATGATAAAATGTGACAACTTAGTTTTCAAACCGTTTTTGTGTTTGTCGATAGTTGAAAAGATACGAAGATTCGAATCGTCGCCTGGAATGAAAATGATGATTTTGCAAAATTGCCGTTACGTTATAATATTATCTACATGACTGCATAACATGTGAACTATGGGCGATCAGCTACTTGATGATGGTTGTTTTTGGATGGTTATCAGCTCAAATTCATCATATACTCACGTTTTGTATTCGTATTGTAATCGTCAGGATTGAAATAGGTTCGTATATATGGAACGGTGGATGGTGCACGCGTTCCATTATATCCAATATCTTTACTTCCATAATATTTACCTTCTGGATATGCTCCAGAATTATCATACTCCGGATATCGTCCACCATTTTTACGTCTATAAACATCATCAGCATTGCTCCAACCGTTACCTAGAGATGATTGAATGTGAAAAAATGGAAATAATCGAAAGAATGGATCGCATTTCTTATTCAACAACCGTTACCCATGTATGTAGTTGGTGTATTTGGAATGGTGGTACCTCCATTTGTATTTCCTCCGTATGAACTGGGACTGTCGCTTCCACCATAAGTGCTGCTGCTTCCTCCACCATAAGTGGTCATCATCGATGGCGTTGTTCCATAGTAATCAACAGTTGGTGTATAGCTCATCGTTGGTACATTTTGTCCATATCCTCCACCGCTGCTACCACTATCGCTTGGAATGTAACTACTTGGATAATTGCTTGTTTCGTATATCATTGGATATGTGTAAACGGGATAAATTTCATGATAATAGTTGTATTTGTCTTGATAATTTGGTGAATATGGATAAGTGAAATCATCTGGTTTGTTGCTACTCATATAAATTGGAGGGTATGTTGGCGGTTTCACTTCATTTGTTGATACGTCCATCGTGTTTGTGCTCCCATATGTTGTTGACGTCGATGGAAAGCGATCCATTGTAGTTGTTATCATGGTTGGTGGAATGCCAGGCCCTTTAGTGCTATCAATCGAACTTGGATACATGTTTGTTGTCGGTATTGTACCACCGCTCGTACCCGTATTACTGCTACTACCACTGCTGCTGCTGCTCGAAAATATCGATGGATGGCTTGATGTGTGTTGATTATTGGACATTGTTGTATCAGGTTTGTCTGGCATCGATGGATTTGTGCTCATCGAATTTGTGCTCATTGGATTTATTGACGATGAGGTGACATCGTTCATGGTCGATGTGTCTGATGTAGTTTGAATTGTTGGTATGCGATCATCATTAGATATCATTGTGTTTGTATTTGTTGTACTTGTTGCGGTCATCGTAATCACTGGAATTGCTGGACGATCACTTGGCATTTCGGTTTGAATGGTTATCAACATAGGCATTTCTAGAATGAAGAAAAAACAAACGAAAAAAAAGAAACAACAACAAAAAAATAGATAAGTACAAGTATGTTATCATGAAATTTATCGCGACCCATTTAAACGATTGAAAAAAAAACCAACAACAACAACTTGCCTTCTTCATTCGGTGGCATTTCGTTGTTGTCCTGAATGCGGCAACTTTCTTTGCGCTGATACAAATTGAAATCGGGATCATAGATTGTACCGCGAGGTTTTCGGCCACTACTGGCATGCTCGAAAATACGTTCGCTCGATAGTTGACATGTACCATTTCCACCGCCAATTGAACTAATGCCCAATGCAAATGATTGACATCGCGAACCCTCAATCATGCATAACTCTTTGCACACCCGAATCGAATTCGTTTCGCTCGTCCGAAATACCCGGCTCGGCAATATCATCGCTTCCTTGTATATTCGTGTAAAGCATTCGGCTGTACAAAATTCAAAGAAAAAAAAATACGATTCATTAAATTGAAGAAAAAACTCGGAATGGGAATAAAGTGATCAATTTTATTTGTTGTGTCATCAAAATGGGTGAGGCGTTGTGCAATTGTCTCTCAATTGCAATTATATTGATTTTCTTTTCAAGCCTTCATGAAATTGCATTACATGATGAAATCTCTATGTCTCTCTATCTTCAAACAGCATCAAATGACAGCAACAAAAACTAAAATAAAAAAAAATCGCGCGCGTACTTTGTATGATAATCGTTCATTCTGTGATATTGAGTGTGATTTTTATTTTAGTGGGCTCGAAATGCGTCACGAAACGCAAATTGATTCTGTTATCATCCATACAGTACAAAATATGAGCATCGCTCAGCGAATATACACATGTGCACACCACACACACACATACCAATTAATCACTTGAGATTTCATGAAATGTCAAAATTATTTATTCCGTTTCTCGCGGTTCCAGACAACAAAAAAAAACACTTTTTCCATTTGAAAGTGGACAAAACAAGCCATCCAATCGACAAACCACAAATTTAAATAAAAAATGATAGAAATATATCAACAAGCAAATTATTGACCCATGCGATTTGCATCACAATAACAACGATGGCCTCTTGGTGTGCGTGCAATCGAGATTGCTCGTTTTTTTCTCTTCTTTTCAGTTGCCGTGCTCTGGTGTAACATGAAAAAAAATATATCTCTCTCTTGCCATCTTGGGCCACGCATACTTGTGCATACATATGTTAAAAGTGTTTACAAATCAAATGAGCGCGGTCGTTTGTGTCGCCGAACGGGAGCAAGAGAGCCTAATCACCACCCATAACAATTCAAGACAAGAACACATCCAGAAACAAAAAAATAACACACGACCAATTCAATTCTGATATTGGTTAACTCCATTTCAATCGTACACAAATGTTTTCTCTTTCTCCTATTTTCTATTCCAGAAACATCATTCAGAATTGAATACGCGCGCAGCGAGAGAAGAAACAACAATATTGTGTATGTCGTCTAAGTAGACAATTTTAATATACAAGTATACGACCATTTTCTTAACTTATTGGACTATATTTATTCTGGTTTTAAATATAGCGTTTAAATGCTATTATCGGTGCATTTTTTCTCGCCGGAAATTTCAATACAAAAATATATTTCAAGTCAAAGACAGCAATGAATAGAAATCAAAAAGAAAAAGAGAAGAAATAATAAAACCAACAAAAAACAATAACAACAACAATGTCGAGAAATGAAATGAAGCGTGGAAATAAACGAGAAATTGACGGAAAAAGGGACTGAAACATTTAAATACACACACACAGAAAAAAAGAAATAACAACAACATGTTCAGGCCTTACTTACTTTATCAGAAGAAAATGTGACAGTTCGCAAATTGCGTCAACGCGTGATATGCGAGCTAAAGAGAGAAGGATCGTCTCTATATATTAATGCATTATTGTTGTTGTCACTAGCGTAAATTCTGAAACGAAATATTGTTTTTGTACAAAAACACACAATTTCATAATTCATTCAAACTTCACCAGTTGACATGAACGCTCGGTAAGTTAACGGAATGCTCTCTGTCTGTCTGACTATCTTTCGGTTCTTTGCGCGAATTTAAAACTTCTTTCTGAGATTCTAAACAGAGTGTTTGTGTGTGCAAATGACATAGCAAAAAAAAAACAAATTAAATATTATTTACAGTTTGTGTTCGTGCAATCAGTGCAGAGAGACCATAGCAGTAGATTAGAAATGAACAAATGCATTTTGATGATGATGATTTTTTTCATAATTTTATTTCTCTGTATCTCGTGCACATAGGCAATTCATAAAAGTACCAATTCAATGGCTATTGCTGTTTGTGGCTTTGTGCTATGGTCAACTTGAGAACAGTGAAGCCGTGATTGTGGTTCCCGGAAATAGTAGCCCAGCCGCATTTCAGTCGCTGAAGCAACCGCAATTTATTACAAATCGAACGTGTAATGCACATCGTCTCTATGCATTGGATCCGAATGCACATTACGATCATTTTGCCAAAGAACGATGCGGTCGATATGTTAGCCATTTGATAGTTCGACGCAGTGTTATTCGTTATATACCGTCGAATTTTTTCATTCATAAAAATACGTTCGAATGTTTAATCACATTGCGAATGGAAAATGTCTCATTGAAAGCAATTTATCCGCATAATTTTGAGAATATTACAAAATTAGAAGTGCTTCAATTGGCCTACAATCAAATTGAACACGTTCCGGCCGGAATATTTCGTCATTTACCAAATTTGAATACCGTTGATCTATCGCACAATGCAATCGAAACAATTGACACGAATGCATTTCGTGACTGCATCAACTTACAACATTTGCAATTGAACAACAATCGTTTAACTGTACTTGATGCCGAATGGATGCGCGATTTGGTTAACATAAAATACGTTGATTTCAGCGATAATTTAATCGAAAGTGATTTTGATGGTGACATCTTTCATGGTGCCAGTGGTGTGAAATTATTCTTGCGCAGCAATCGAATTAAACGAATATTGAGCTTTGGCAGCAAATCAGAACGTGGCGGAATATTTCGTTTAATTGATTTGGCCGGCAATACACTACGGCCACCATATCCAATCATACCGTTTTTTAATCATAATCTGAGTGTCATTTATTAAGTATCATTCATTTCAATCATATTAGAATCACAAACAAAACGAACAAAAAACAGTTGAACTAAAAACAAACTGTATACACACATTTTCACTTTTTTGTTGTATTGTAAACATTAAGTAACAAAAATTATTTCTATAAGTAATAAATGGGATCTTCTAAATGACAAAAATACTGCTCTAGATTTTCGAATCATAAGAATTTCATCATATTCGATTTTATTCAAGCTAAATTTATTAACTCTGTTTATTTATTTAAATCAATTCTTTTGCCAGTTGATGAAATAAAACCACGATACATTTTTCCAATAAAATTATTAAACACTTGGAATGTGATTTTTTGTAATTTAATAATAAATGATACTTATGCAGAAACAACTCTATTTCTTTTAATTTTCTCAACACCCGGATTTTAGATCTTAATTTCAAATTGAGATCTTTTAAGATCTATGCTTACCATCGTTTTGATTATCTATGGTGACTGCACTGATATATGGCAATTTGGCACTGATCAAACCAATACTCAATAAAATCAAACTGAGCATTTTATTCCTTCGGTTGTATTTTTTTCTATTATTATTTATTTCTTCGAATGAATCAATCAAATTGATTTGAGATGTTGTAAATGAATTTATGTTTGTTTGGCTTCTCAAGAGCCTTCTCCCGTTCACAGTAACGTTCTTAATCGCGATCAATACACTAATCACTTTATTTGATTTATTTAACACTAATCACTTTATTTACTTTATCGGTTTCACGAAGTCTTTGAAAGGGTTTCATTTCATCTTCATTCGGAGAAACAAGCGCACACTTTTATTCGATAGATCAAGTTTCTAATTCCTTTAGCTACTCATCGATATTGCGGATTTATGTGGACTTGAATTCATGATTTTCAACTGTGATGAAACGATGGTTTACCAATATTATCCAGACGAAAACTAATTCTGTGGTACATTTTACATTCTTTTGTGAGTCGAACTCCTTGGCTTCTTCGTCGTTCTGCACGCCGCTGAAATGAGAGAAAGACAGAAATGGAGAAATTTAATTCTTTCACCAAGTTTGTTTTGCGTGGATATAATTCGATTTCAAGATTCTCTTGTCGTTTGTCTCTATACTATGATATGTGAATATTTGTGTTCTTTTTTCTTTAATTTTCGTTTTTTTTTTTTCTCGGTTGACTTTCTTTTATTTTTCATGGATAATTGTTTTTATATAACCAGATTATCGTAGCAAATCCGTTATGTGTTCATTCGATGATCTCTTTATGTTTTTTTTTCTTCTTTATATTTTGCATGCGAATTCGTAGAACGAACAAAAACCAAATTCTTCGTCTGATTTTTTGGTGCGTGAACTTTTTTCGCGTTCTACTTTTTTCTTTGTGGTATTAACACCGAATTGTGGATCAAGAAAAAAAGACACACAACGCCACAAAGCAAAAGAAGTAGAAAAACGTTTTGTTTTTTACTAGATTTCAAATAGAGCAAATGAAGGAGCATACTTGTAGCATAAGTTGAAATCACAACGTTCATGTTTGTTGATTTCGATCAAAACCGATTAAAAACATAATCGTAGGTAAGATTTTTGCACTCACGAATTAGCATATAAAATAGCAGACTCATTTAACGATTTCTCTGCACAATATTATACATCTATACCTCTTTCACTTGATAGGAAGATCTTTGCCGAATGTTTTTTTTCCCTTGGAATGTGTCACAAATGTTGACATTAATTCTATTCGATCGCTTTCTCGTCTTCATTCCACGATGATGACGTTTGAGATTTGTTCTGAACCATTTAGACATTTCGATTGACCGAATAAATTATAGAAGATTGTGATAGGCAAAAAAGTACCATTCAAAATGGGACGGACAGTTCTTGAACAAAAAAAATCGTGTGCAAAAAACGTGTGAATTTAGGTCAAATGGGAAATTGATTAATGATCATTATAGAATTCGCAAAACGAATGACACGCATTACAATAAAATACTCAACCGAAAGAGAATCGGCATCGAGCAGATCAACTTGAATTCACACCGCCAAAATGTGATGCGGTCTGCATGTTTTTTTATGTGTGGATGTCTGCGATGGATGATCACTGTGAATGTTGTCGTTTAATTTAAATTTTTATTGTTATTAAATGTTCAGTGAGTCGCGCATCAAAAAGCGGCACACACACACACATCGCTTAGATTAGAATCTTTAAAATCACCATATTTGCTACAAAAAAGGGCAACAACAATAACTGCTCACATTTACGAGCCACTGAATGGAAACCATCCAAATATATACATGTGTATTGAGATGCAGTGATATTTGATGAGAGATGACCATGAAAATTTTTGCCTCAATTGAGCGATAAAACAATGGCCAGAATGAAAATTAAAAATTCTGTTTTACTTTTTGTTGTTGTTTAATGTGTATTGCGAACGGAACACCGTAGGCGATAAACTATGATTTAATCAATGTAATGTACGATTTTTGTGCGATTTCGATAGAGACAAAAAAAAAGAGAAGAAACAAAACGTTTTCATGAATGTGTGCTTGTTTATTTATTTTTAATGCATTGTTGTTGTTTTTAACACATTTTTTCAGAATATTTATTCGGTATTTTGCAATCGAATCGATAGCAATCTAGTCACATTCGATGTATCCGATGCATGAAAGTGCTATTTGTGATTGGAAAGTGATTTTTTTTTCTCTTTCGCATGAATCACAAACAGCTGATGACAATAATATCAATACTTTCGCCCAAGAATCAGTTTAAATAAAAGCAATGCCAATGATGACTGCACAGGACACACAATAAAAAAAAATAATTAAAATGTATACGCAGAACTTTCGGAAATTGTGAAATAACTATTATTTTGTTTAGTTTTTGTTTGTCAGTGGCACCATTTCAATTGTTTCAATCTACTGGATTCTATTTTATATGAGAGGCGAAACCATACATATAAATATGACCAACAACAGTGATGACGACGGCACCGTTTTGTTATTATTTTCACAATTATTTCGGAGGTCAATTAATTTTAATGCACGCACATTTACCCAAAATTACACCTTCCGATGATGACATGCAATTGGTCACTCAATTTTATTCGCTCTGTTCTCTTCGTTCTCTGTTTTTATTTTTATTTTTATATTTGATTTCTTCCTTTCTCTGTGACCCAATTCCGCTTGTGAGCGATCACAAGAGCAACACTTTGGTGATGACGAAAATGATTTCGAACAATACAAAATTATGGATCTAGCACTGTTTCACACGAGCGAATCCAAGAATTGGTTATTTATTATCACATCAACGGCTGTCGCTATAAACGCTTAACCGCAAAAGTGCAACTGCTTTGTACTAATTTGGTGAAATCAAACATTAGTTGAGTACATTACCGAAAATTTACGATGCATTGTACTTCAACATCTCTATTTTTAGTTCGTCAGGCTTTTTCTTCTTCTTCGCAAATCGCGACTAACCAAAAACAATGGAGATTTTATATGAAAATGGATCATTAAGAGAGTGCATCTTTATCTTTGTTTGGTCATAAAAAGAAAGTCACATTTCTACAATGGAAGTGCATAAATTTTTGTGTCATCAAAGTGTGCCGCAATAGAAATGTTTCGATTTGGAAAAATGTCGATTGGACGTGTTTTCCAATGCAAACACGTTTAATTGTGTGCGAATTTTAAAAATAAATATTATCAATTCACCTGACGGAAATTGTGTCTTTATTTCTCCCTTTTTTATTGGCATCAAATGAACAGTTTTGTCTAAATAAATTGTGATATAATTCAAAATCTTTTCAATACAAAAAAAATCACACATACACAATGGACAGTTATTGTTTCAACAAGTTTTTTAAACACTAGCTAGGTACACACTGTCGAGGTAACACCAATTCGATGAACATCACTATCATCGATTAGTTTGAAAACAACAACAACAAAAAAAGATATCGATAACATCTGGCTATAATGCTTAACACGCTCACTCTCTCAAATGTATACAATTAAGCATCGAGTAGATTTTCACTGATCAGATTAAAATCGCATTGCATTCAATTAGTTGATATTGATTAATTCTGTAGTCATATTGTGGTTGGTTTTTTTGTTGTTATTATTGTTTCTATTGTTATTGCTTGCATTCCATTCAAGTGAGTAAAAGTTTTACAAAATTGTTCATCGATGGGATCGAGAGTGAGAAGAGTGTACACTGATAACAACAAAAGCACGAATTGTATTCATTCGCTGTAGTTGCTGATATATTTTTTTTATATTGAACACACGAAAATAGAATAAAAATCACAGATAGAATGAATTGAATGTTTGTTACGTATATACTATATCAGCGATGCGATCGAATCGCATAAAAATACTACGGAAAAAAGAACAAAAGCGCGTGCGAACTCGATCGACAAATAAAAACTACTGAACAACATCCAATTGATTGTTTTCAATCTTGCAAAAAAAAACAAAATTGTACTAGACACACAAAAATACAGAATCGAATGCGCGGAGGCAAACGACAACGGTGGCAGTGTGACGGCAGAGGCACAGGCAACTGTTTAACGCTGTTTGTTATTGGTGCTGTCTCATCGACAGTGGCCCCAAATGAAATGAAAATAAAAAAAGAGCTACACACCAACAATAACATCAACAAGCAAAAGGCAAACTCAGAATACTACACAAACTACACGGATTAAACAACATTAACATTAGCAGAGCACTACTAATTTTGTTCGGTATTTTGTTGTCGCTCTGTGATTATTATTATATATTATATATCAAACAATCATCTAAAAAGTACGCGAACCACAACAACAACGACGATGACGATGACGATGACGATGACAACAACAATGCTTTGGCGAAGGCAAAGTGCTCGCACGATGAACGTAGTGTGCACATAAAATATACATTTATTGTTGTATGTAAATTAGAATGGGTGTTATGTCCGTGCTTGAGAGCGCGTACCACGGATATTCTTGTGCGGGCAACACTCTCATATGTAGACACTAGACTGCCTCAATTTACACACAAAAAACAGCAGCAGCAACAACAACAACAACATGTTCAACATTGATAGAGAGGTAGAGATCAGTGTCGGTGTATTTGAATGATGCTCATCGCTCAGTGTCGAATCCGGCCACAGATGGAATCGTTTGAATTTATGTATAGTCTAAGCCATTTGACACTCAAATAGATCTTTTTGACCAGACCGATGATGTTTTGCTTGCGAACAATAGCAACGTCGTCGATAGCAACGACCAACTGCATATAACATTGAGCTGTATGAATCAGCAATTCCTTCATCCACATCGTTCTGGTGTGAGTGAACGCAGAATAAAAATTAAGAGCGTCGCCATTGGCATAATGAAAGATAGAAACATAGAAAGACATATTCATTGTGTGATGTTTATTAACATGACCAAGGCGCACATCGCACACACACATACGTATGCGACAATTTTTACTATGCCTCAAGTTTAAAAACGAAATGCGTTGTCCATTAATGCCACTTGCCACACACTTCAAAGCATAAATTCTAAAGACTATGGGTGAAAAAATTACTAACGATACACAGAGTCAGCAGTTTTTAATGAAGCCTTGGATCACATTTCTCAAAACATGGCCTATCACAATACATTGCAGAATATACAACGAAATGCTGTCGCATCGGTTTTGTCATGCACACTAAAAACAGATGCCATCTCGTTTTTTATTGAACAAAGATAGAACAGATAATAACTTAATTGCTTATTTTCCATTTTATTACGTTTCTTTTTGCAATGATACCAGAAAATAGTATACGGCGTGGTGTGTGCTTCGATGAATACATTAAACAAATGTATGTGTGTGTGTGTGCTTTGCACTTTCGCTTCCAGACTGCATTGTGCAATCGCATTTAAATCTCGCGACAATGTCAATTAATTAGCGTAAATCAATTTCACTCTCCAAAAATTGACGGCAATTGTTTTGTTCGTCCAAATGAAATTGTTTGGCCTCGCCCATCTCACTTGCTCTCGGTTCAACTAAACGTTTATTCAATTGTTCACCAAAAAAGAAATATTTTGTGTTTATTGTAAATATACCGTAACATAAGTACACTTACGTAATTCTCGAAACATGGAATGAAAATAAAATTTCATTTTACTCAATAAACAAATGACGCCCCCAACAACATACCCAAAGGAAAATGAACTTTCCACCAATTTCATTTCCGCAAACTCATTTCTATGGTGTTTTTCGTCGCTTATTTTGCTGTTGACAATACATGAATATAAAATTGATTCAAACATATTCAGGTATAATTGGCCGTCACACTATGAATAGTTTCTTTAATTTCGTTTTACTTTCGGTGTAACGTACAATTTTTTTACAACTTTCATCAATTAGATACCATGTTCATTCAATTTTATTTTCAGCTTAAAATGCAAATAGTTTTCGAAGTGAGCATCACATTTCCGGCGTTTTAAACTATGATGATTAAAATGATCTGAACGATTAAGTGCAGATGAAAATCTTCTTCGATTATTCTAAAAAAGAAATGGTATGCTAAAAGTTAAACGAAAAAAAAAACTGAAAATAAAATCGAAATTTAGACGAAATCTTACACAAGAACCATAATTCAAATCATAATGTCGTTGAGAGAAAAAAAGATTAGTGTTTCGCTCGTTGAATTGAGCTTAATAATTGTGTTCAACTATCCATAGAACACCGCTTTAACATAATGCTGAAGATAGAGAGAAAACCCTTGAAGTCACAAACTGAATTGATTCAAACTGTGTGGAAAATTAACGAATTGCACAACCCACAATTTCGGCCAAAGAAAGATTTTGAAGAACTTTTTTTTCTTTATCCCCTTCTGTTTGTTACTCTCTTTCTTTCTTTCTCTCTCTTTTAGTCATCCCAATAAATTCTTATATACAACGAAATAGATGATAGCTCTCATGTTTACTGTAAAAAACATACACAAAACTTTGAGAAATCAAACTTACTTGATCTGGGAATAAAAAGAAACATTTCTTTGGCATAAAGAAATGTCGTAGGTACGTTGGTTGAGTTGAGTTCAAAATAAAGTATAACAAGTAAAAAAAAAACTCATATTTTTGATTGAATTTCTTGTTCCAATCATGACGGCGTACTTGTGCTACCTCATCGTTGATACGCCGTATGATGTGAAAACAGTTACACCGTACTGCTTAAATTAAATCAAAGGTATGCAAAGTCAATGACACTTTTATGCGGCCGCTAATACGCCATTATAACTATTTTGTACAATGATTTTTTTACTTTTTCGTTTCGTTAAATCCGTAATGTATATACACGACCAATTGGGAGAACAAAGATCGTGCAATATTTGAAGCAAAACTCAACGATCCATAATGTGATTGCGGTGGTTTGCGGCTTCTGTAACTCATCAAATTAACGAACAAAAATCACTCACACGCAAGCACAGCATACACATGTCGATTTTTCTGTTTTATCATTGGTTTTATGTTTGGCTTGAATTTGAACTGTAAAATTTTGCTAGCCGTACATAATATGGTGTAGGTGTGTATACGCATTACATCTTAAATCAGGTAATAACGTTCTATTGACTACCGTGTCAATAAAATTGCTCACCAAATAAATTGAAAAAGGTGTAAAAGGATGATGATAACATCATCAAGAGTTGCAAACACCAGGAAGTTTTAACCAAAAAATACAACCAATGCGGTATTGGTCTGAGAATTTTTGTTGCGATTTCCATCTTCAAATCTAAATTGGTATCGACTCCAATTTGCTATAAAATCACTTCAAAAGGATAAACAAAGAAGATTCGAGTATTGTTCCGCCTATTTGAATAAATTAAACGCGAATTTCAAATAAAACGACGTTTTTTCTTAATGACAAAGCACCAACTCAAAAATTTCAATGCAATGTCTCTGTTTTGAAATTGGTGCTAAAATGATGGCAAATTTTCACATGTTTCTCTTTGTTGTTCTGTGTTCGGCCAGTATTTAATTTCGTTTTTTCGGTTGGAAAATGTGTTTCGTCTTTTGTGTTGTGTCATTAGTTGAAAAATACATCGTCATCTTCTCAAGACTAATAAAAACTCATTGTTTTTCAAGAGCAAAAAACGGCCGTCTAAAAAATGTACATTTAAAATGTTTAATTAGTTTATCGACGGCGGCGCGACTAGAAGGAGAAGGCGGTGTCGGAAATTCGTCACTTAAGCATAATTATTGTTTATCTTTCGACGATGGATCAAGTCTTTATTCCGCATGTAGGGAAGTCAGTCGGTCAAAGCATGAAAAAAACTACAATGAAAAAAATAGCACACAAAGAGTGTGCACAGATATACTGCATAGCAGACAACGTTTCTGATTTAGCGCTAACAAGCAACGAGCTACAAAGCCAACCAAATTGTACGAAACCAAAATAATATTTAATCATTATGTTTTTGAGTCCAATGTCAATGTAAAACCACCGCTTAATTTTTATATGTAACTTTTACAAGCTATTTTTAATGATGTTCGCACCTCTATGTCGCATATTTGATGAATGTGAATATGCTTGAACATTTCAATAATCATTTATTGTATCCAATTTTGTATTGATGCGATATTTGCTTTTTTTGTTGTTTTTTTAATTCATTTTTGGCTAAATTTTATCATTGCAATTTACACGTCGCAACTATTAATTAAAATTTAATTTGATTCGACGGCCATCCATCGATAATTTGATTGAATACCGAATCGAAATGTTAATTGAATTGATAGTGTGTTAATTGATAATTAAATTATGCTGCTCTTGCGATAGCTTTGAATTGACATTTTATTATTTGGTGCAACCAAGTTCAACGGCGAAAAAAACGCATTTTTTTTAGTTTTTCCATTTTTTTGTGATATTTTCGTTCGTTTTTATAAATTATTTTAACTTCTACGACACTTTTTTTTGTATGAATTTTAAATGAAATTTTCGGAGGCTTATTCTTATATGGCTTTTGGTGCTTCTTCGTCTTTCTCCACAGATTTTTGTGTGGTTTCCTTCCAATTTCAGGACAAACATCTTTCACTTTCGATCTCTAAGTTAACGTCTTTATTCTACATCTTTTTCTTCAGGTTTTTGAGTGGTTTTCATTTGTTCTTCCAATTTCTTAGCACGAGCTTCTCTTAGTTTTTTTTGTTTCACAAGCCATGGGTCAACCCTTTTTGAGAAAAAAAAATGAAAATCGAATTGTTTATTAATTGACATTTCAATGTTTCATTAAATAAAAAAATCTTCATTTTAAAAGCTAATCGACCAAATAAATCAGATCCGCAAATTTTCTTTTGATAAAAAACAACATAGTCCCAATAAAATTGGCCAAAACGAACACATTGTCTTGAGATTTATCACGAACATTTTCGATAGTTGGAAATATAGAATATAGAAGATATTTTAATGGGTGTTAATCAGTCTGTGATGTGTTTTATCAAAAATTTAAACTGGATGCTGTGTAAAAAAAATGTTTTGCAAAGATTTCGCAAATATATTACCAAGGTTTTGCTGTCGCTGACCAAGCCAAAGCACGAGCAATAGCTGGCGGTATTGTTGGGATGTGGTCTCCAACCTATATTATTTAAACAATTCATTTAAACGTTCGATAAAAACATGAAATATTCTCTATTTTGTCTATATACATACAGGTCTATAGCCATTTTCATCGGCCGTGTAGGTAATAGAATAGGTTTTTCCCTCATCGTCTTTGTATGAGTATGATCCTTTCACACTTTCGCCCATTTGTGTTTCTTCTTCTTCGCCATCATCATTTTTTATGGACATTTTTTTCAATTCACCTTGTTGCTCGACAACTGTACCGTCTTCTGATTCGTAGCTGAAATAATTATAAACAACACATTCATTTTAATTGAAAATGACTTTGATTTGTGATCATCATATTAAATCGAAATTGTTCTTACTTGTATCTATATTTGCCATCCTCTGCAAGTTCTGATTCGAGTTTAACAATTCGAATATCAGCATATCTACTTTTAGGACGATCCCCTGGAATTGGCACAACACCAGGTATTTTTACTTTTCGTGTTTGTGGTGAGGAACTTTCCTCAGGTTTCTCCTCTCCTTCAGCCTCTACAGTTGATGCATTGTTACGCCCTTCATTTTTCTCACCAGATTCATTCTTTTCGAGTGGTTTCTCTGTCGTTGTTTTTTCAGGTGCACTTTCGACTGGTGTAACTGTTGTCACTTCATTTTCTTTTTTGGCTTCTTCACTTGGTTTTTTCTCATCTTCGGCAAGTGATTTTATCGCGACTTTGTCAGCTGGTTTTTCAGGTGAACTTTCGACTGGTGTAACTGTTGTCACTTCTGTTCCGTTTTTGGCTGATTCTTCGATTGGTTTTTTCGCATCTTCGGCAAGTGATTTCACAGCGACTTTATCAGTTGGTTTTTCAGGTGCACTTTCAACTGGTGTAACTGTTGTCACTTCTGTTTCGTTTTTGGCTGATTCTTC